ATTCTAAATGCGATTTTGATTATTGTGTGTAATTCAATGGTTCAACGTATGATTCTTTTATTGTTTTGTTGTTTTATGTTGATGATATGCTTGTTGCTAGCAATGATCTGTGTGAAACCAAGCATTTAAAGCTTGACATGTCCAAGCATTTTGCCACTATGGATCTTGGACTAGCCAAGAAGATTTTGAGCATGCACATCCATAGAGACAGAAAGCAAGATAAGCTTTGGTTAAGTCAATCTGAATATATTTCTAAAGTTCTTGAGTGCTTCAATATGATTGATTGTAAATATGTTTCTACGCCATTCGCTGCACATTTCAAGTTATTTAAAAGTGACTCTCCAATAAATGATATAGATAGAAGTAAGATGAAGAATGTTCCATATAGTAACTCTCCAATAATGTCAACCTGAATTTTTTGAGAACAAAACCAATCATAACTTAGTTTGCAAGTTGAAAAAGGGATTGTATGGTTTGAAACAAGCATCTAGGCAATGGTATAAGAAATTTAACAGTTTTATGCTGCGTGAAGGTTATTCTAAATACGATTTTGATCATTGTGTGTACTTCAAGGGTTCAGCATATGATTCTTTCACTGTTTTGTTGTTTTATGTTAATGATATGCATGTTGCTAGCAATGATTTGAGTGAAACCAAGCGTTTAAAGCTTGATATGTCCAACAATTTTGCCACCAAGGATCTTGGACCAGCCAAGAAGATTTTGGGCATGCACTTCCATAGAGACAGAAAGCAAGGTAAGCTTTGCTTAAGTTAATCTGAATATATTTCTAACGTTCTTGAGTGCTTTAATATGATTGACTGTAAACCTTTTTATACGCCATTAACTGCATTTTCAAGTTGTCTAAAAGGGACTCTCCAATGAATGAGGTAGATAAAAATAAGATAAAGAATGTTCATATATTTCTGTATTGGGTAGATTAATGTATGCAATGGTTTGTACTAAACTTGACATTACCCATAAAGTGGGAGTTGTTTCCAGATTTATGTCTAATTCAGGTTGGGACCATTGATAAACAGTTAAGTGGATTCTTCGGTATTTGAAGTGGACATGAAATGTATGCTTGTGTTTTATAAATTCATCATTGGAAGTTGTTGGTTTTGTAGATGAAGATTATGCAGGATGCCATGATACTAGAAGGTCTACCACTTGATATATTTTCAATGTTGGTGGTGGTGCAGTCAGGTGGATGTCAAGGTTGCAGGATATTGTTCTCTTGTCATCAACTGAAGCTGAGTATGTGTCATTGACTGAGGCAGCGAAGCAAATGATTTGGTTGTGAATGTTACTTAGCCAGTTTGGGGTGAAACAAGATAAATATATTGTTCATTGTGATAACCAGAGTGATATTCATCTGGCTAAGAATACATCGTATCATTCCAAGATAAAGCATATAGAGGTTGGATATCATTTTATTCGGTTGGCCCTGGAGCGCAGATTTACAAATGCACAAGGTTCATACAGAGAAGAACCTTGCTAATATGTTGACAAATGTTGTCTCAATTGAAAAGAATGCGACGTGTAGAAGTCTTTCGGGGTTGGAGGAGACGTAACCTCGAGTGGATGGAGAGTGGTGAATTGGTGATTATTTCAAAGACTTATGTGATTTGTCTTCAAGTGGGAGATTGTTACATGTGTAAAAACAAATCGTACATGTGGGAGTTTTATGTAACTTTTCTCTCTTTTATTTTGGGCCATTGGATTACATCTAATCCAATGGTTGTGGTGTTATAAGAAATTTACCCTTTTAAAGGGACTAAAACCCTTTTGTTTAGAGAGAGAAAGAGTAAGAAAAAGATAGAGAGATTGGGTTGCAATTGGGTTTTCTCTTGGGAGCTTAGTATACTCTGTTTTAGAGAGAGAGTGAGTAAAAAGCTTGAACTCCATTATGGGCTTGCTGTATGTCATGTTTTAGTAAGAGAAAACGTTGAAGAGAACCGATTTTTTGGTGCTCTTAGTGCCTTACTTTGAAGCTCTGTTTAAAGTGAGAAAGGGTTGTTGGAAATTTATATTTGAGCTCGATTTCACTTTGTAATATTCCCAAATCAGTAAGTCAAGTCTTGCGCCATTCTTCTATGGGTGTAGGTCACGATTCGTGATCGAACCACGTTAAATCTTTGTGCTCTGTGGATTGAATATTGCTGGATTTTTTATTTCATGTTATTGCTTTGATATTGTGTAGTTTCCATTGCTTGTTTATATTGATATGAATGCACAATAGTTGTGAATGTTATAAATCCTTGCTAATCCCAACAGAAAGTACACTATAATCTACCAACCCAACCTAATGGTAAAGTTGAAGTATTCGATGAAGCTTTATGCAACGCGCTTCATAAGGTAGTAGTCTCTAATGTAAAAAGAGACTGGCATGAAGGATTACTGAAAGTATTGTGCGCCAACAAGGCCACAACGAGGGGATCAATTGTGATTACTACACATGCCCTTATTTATGTTGGAGAATCGGTTTTACCCCTATAATTCAAAATACCCTCTTTACGCTTGATAGCATATGATAACACGTGGGAAGATGACAGGGCTACGATTCGCTTGGAAGAACTTGAAGCATTACATGAAAGGCGACTCTGTGCCAAGCAAAATATAGAAATATATCAAGCACAAATGGGTAATGCCTACGAAAAATTGCTCATTCAAGCAGGGTGAGCTTGTTCTTGCCCTAATACACTGCATCATATGCCTCTCTTGAAAGTAGCAACATCATATATTTATGTAATATTGCTTGCACTTTACACAATCATATTTGATCTATAGCTGGTGGTGATGATTGGCTCTCAATCATGTTTGATCTATAGCAGGTGGTGATGATTGGCTCTCAATCATATTTGATCTATAGCTGGTGGTGATGATTGGCTCTACAAGGAGTATGATAGGGATCTTGAACTTTGAACCAATTGAAGAAACAAATAATCACAAATTGCATAACAATGTAAAACCTTGCTCATGAAAATGATGGCGATGAATTGGGAGATTGTATTGCTAATGTACTTTGGGATGACTATTTTGCTTACAATTGAGCACAAATTAGCATAAAAATATATGATTGGTTGAAATTTTGAATTCCATGTTTCTCTTTTGTTTTGGATAATAATATTTTGTGGATTTTATTTTGGTCAATATAGAGATATAAGGTTAAGCTTTGCCCACGTTATTATAAAACTGGGATCATAATCTTTAAAATGGGCTAAATTAGTCATGGTTTATGGGTTATGGAACTGGTATTAAAGTCTCTTATTTACTATTGCATTGTTCATTATCCTCTCAATAGCCATGAAACAATTTAATTTTTTTCACATTATTTGTTTATCAAACCCATGAGAAAAGAGACTTAAAGATCAAGGTTGGTTAAACATGATATAATGAAAAACATAAAGAAAAGTCAGAATTTACTTGCAAAGCATCCAAACAAACATATCTAACTAATAAAATTTACTTCTAATATTTTTAACAGAATTCAAATACTCTACCAAAAATATAAAATAAGATGAACATATTTCTCATTGAAGATAATAAAAAAAAAAAATGATAAAGGATTTTTTATTTGACGTCCAAAGTGGGCCTTAGGACCCAAGGCAATCGGAGAGGAGATTTTACCACAAGCAAAAGCTGGAAAATATTAATTGAGTGTGTATCTCATGCTCATGAGGGACATAGTATACAACAACTCTCTCGGGAAAAGAGTAACTTTATGAATTTTTCTTTTTTTGAATTTTTATGATCCGTCTAAGTGTCATCAGATTAGGGGTGGGAATGGACCCGGACTAGACACGGGACCCGTCGTGTATACCCGACACCCTGGTGGGTCTTGGTCCAAAACTTGGACCCGAACACTATCCGGGGTCCAGGTCCGGGTCCGGATCCAACTGGACCCGACCTGTAGTTGTAAAATGTTAGAGATAAAATAGTTTACTTTAAGTCCTATTCATTTCAGTGTATTAAGGATCGTATATAATTAAAACTAATAGTCATATTTCATTATTAAACGACAAATCACATGGCTTGAAATCTAATAGCGGGTGATTGTGACCTTGTTGCCAATAATACGGGTATATGATGCTAAAAAGGGCGGCAAAATAAAAGAAAGAAAAGCATCCCATAGTGAGGATGACAATGGACCCGAGACCCGACAAGTATGGGTATGGGTCCAATTTTTCAAGTCCGGGTCCAAAACCTGGACCCGAATCTATTCGGGTCTGGGTCCAGGTCCAGCCGGACCCGACCCGTTGCCACCCCTACATCAGATGATCATTTTGAAGAAAAAAAATTAAATTTTAAATTCTTGAACACCTAGATCTTTCCCTTTGAAATTAGATGGTCTTGTTCAATCCTGGGATATTAATTTCTTTGAGGCACATAAAGCGACCTATATATTTATTTGCTCTTTAATGTTGGTTGCTAGGTTCTACATGTTAAATCCCCAACTTTTAAGAGCCGAAAACCATCAAGGGCGCCTTTCCTTTATTCTGAATTCCATCACCAGAGAGCACAAGCCTCCCATTTTCTCTTCACCACTCTTTGTAAACATTTTTGTTTGTAACACAATAGGCCCAAAGACACATTAAATGGTGCTCATCCCATGAAATTAATATTCTAAATATTCTCAATCAGATCGGGATTGGGAGATTCAAATTGAATTGATGGTACCAGCCCAAGTTTTAGTCCGAATAGAGAACCGGTCTAGTTTTGATAGACTTGGTTCTATCAAAGAAACAAGCGAGTATATCCGGGAATTAGGTGATCCGGACAAGCTGAATCCCCGAGTTCCAACCCCTTTTTATGATTTTTTCAATTACCCAACTTTCAAATTTAAAATTATTATCTAACCTTTCCTCTAACCGATTCTTGCTCTAGAAAAAACGGCTCAAAGCGGCCGTTCGGATTGGTGCAATGACTGATTTGGCCTCCTTGTCCCGGCTTTTAAACTATCAAACTATGATACGATAGAGAGAAATTGTGAAAGACAGCGAAACTAGAAAGCAAAACAACATGATAGAAGCTTGCATCGAAGAAAGAGTTCACATGACAGAGCATCTTCAATATCACTTAGATTACAATGTATTATTTATTCAAAGTGATCTTGGGTTGTTTGTTCAATATCACTTAGAGGTAAGAAGACAATGTATTATTGGGTTTGTTCAATATCACTTAGAGGTAAGAAGACAATCTGCCTCACGTGATTCTGCACAAATGATAACAATAAAAGTAATAAGTTATCTGAATCAAGAATAAGAGAGAGAGAGAGGGCTTTTAAAAAACTAAGGGGTTGGTTGCTTGAAAAATTTGGGCCATCCATAAATAATTAATAAAGGTTGCGGTTTTTATAAGGTTGCAACCTTAAACAATCCAATTAAAGCCCACTTTAAAATTTTATCATAACATATAATTTTGTTGTAAAAAATTCTTAGTATTATCTTTAAATTTATTTTCATACCTAATTAGAAAATTTTAAATTCCAAAAATGGTAAAAATCAAGACGATCTATAAATATATGAAAATCTTAAAAATGGACGGTCTAGATAATGTATTGCAAGATGCACTATTGTGGATTCAAAAACTTTGTTTTTTTCATCTTCATAGATCTTGATGTCGAGATGATTCATTAAAGGGTTTTTTCAATATTAAAACAACATTTCCGATAGATTTTGTAGGTGCATCGGTGATTCTACATTTTAACGTTGTAACCTTATATAAACCCTTTCCATAAATAAAAGGCCCTAATTAGGTGTTGGTCCCGCCTAAACAAGTTTTCAAGGTAGGTGGGCTGGAAACAGTCTTAACCATCGGCTTATGCACAAAGTGACCGCTCTTAAAATTCGAACCCTCGTGAGCCTTTTTACCGTTATACCAAATGACGGCCCCTTAATTCCACAAAATTTAGGCCATCAATAATTCCACAAAAACGTGTTACACAACAAGCTGTTTGCTTGGAAGCGGTCCAGCCACAGTCAAATCAGACAGCAAAAGAGCTGTCTGTAGGTGCCATATCCAAAAGAGGGGTGATCCAAACATGTCCAAATGGCTTGGATTACGTTGGATTAAGATGGATGTGGAGTTATGGTCTCTCCACCAAAGAGGTAAAATCAATTGTTTGAAAAAAAAAAAAAAAATACGATATTTTTTATTTAAAAATCTATTTATTTATTCCATGTTCTACATGTTAAAAAATTATATGTACCTAAAATTTGGTAGGTTGAAATATCTCAACCATTAAGATCTTGAATTTGAAAAAACTAAATAAATATTAACCTTTGAAGATGATCTATTTTGTATTATTTTTTAGACCATGCATTTCAATTTTTCAAGGATTATCCTTTAAAGCCTAAGGCGGCCACGGACCACTCACCAAATGCTTTCCGCATCATGTGAACCGGCAAAACTTGGGAAGCAGTAAACATTTATTTTCTATAAAAAGCGCCCTACCTAAATATTTACATCACTGAAAATCTCTCTTTCTTTTTATAAAGATACTTTGGGTTTACAGAAAATAATTTTCCATTAGGATACTCTTCTTTTAACATTACCTATTATTTTTGAGATATAGGACCGTAAGGACCATGGACCACTCACCAAATACTTTCCACATATCATGTTAACCAGCAAAAATTTGGGAATCAGTAAACATTTATTTCTGTATTGAATCTCTCTCTCTCTTTTTATAAAGATGCTCTCGGTTTTCAGAAAATATATGATTTCCATTGGGATACTCTTCTTTTAACATGACGTATTATTTTGAACTATAGAATCATTTTGATATCTTATTATTTTGGAGTTTGTACAATATTTTTAAAGGAACTTATTGGTGAAATTTTTGATGGAATTTTTTGTTAAATTAAGATTTTTAATTTACTGTTATTGTTAATTTGTTTATCTTTAAATCAAAATTCAATAATATTAAGTTAATAAAGAAATAAAGTTATAGAGAAGAAGATTTTTTTTAAAATTTTTTTTTAAAAAAAATATAAAATACAGATATTTATGATTTCCATTAAAAAAACTCGATTTTTTTACTCTCTTTTTGAGCCGGGCATGGGCTTAGTATGGAAGGACGTTTTCCCACTGGTTCAGGCCAGGCCCAAAAAATGAACATTTTGGGCTTTTTTGGGCCTTGCCTTGGCCAGTCCGGAGGCCATCACTCCACGGTTTAGGGTGTTTGTGAGCACGTGCGTGTATGTTAGTGTTCATGAGAAAGAGAGTCACTTGGTGCAGTCAGTGCTCTTAGAGATGGGGATGTTCAGCTTCACCCCGCACAGCCCCGGGAGTGCCGCAGCGTGATCGTCGTTGAGATTCAGGATGCCATTGGCGACTTCCTTGAGACATACACAGATAGACTGCCTCATGTCCCGGCTGTTAGCACCCGCATGCACATTCTGCACACCGATGCAACAGGGCGTGTTCGGGCTGTTCACATCAGCAGTCAGATAGCTGAGACATGGCGTGAGATCTCTAACCATTTCCTCCCTTATCATCTCTTGGCATTGAGGAGTTTGTTGAGCAATGCTAGAACCAAGCACAATGAGAGTAAAGAAGAGAACAACATTTTTCGCCATATTATCTTAATCAATCAAGCTGATAATTGTAGGTTTGGGGGTTCATAGCATATTGTTATATAGATTTGAGGCCAGGTGGTGTAAAATGGAATTAGGAGAGGGTGTGTTAGGAGGTGCAGTGAAACTTTCGTGCTTCGTGTTTTAGGACTGCTACACCAGAGCATGGAGTTCATGCTTGCTTCTTCCCTTTTTTCGACATTTTTTAGAGCATGTATACTAAACTTCCGAGCATATTTCTATTCACTCGACTTATTTGGAAGGAATGTTTTTAGAAAAGAGACCACACAACACTTACGAGCGAAAAAGGAACAAATAGAATCACAAATGTTTGAGGACAACTAAATTTAAGTACTTTGCTTATAGGAATAGGTACACAATGTGCTTCTGCAGGAGCACCAATCCCTTTAACAATGTTAACAAGAGACGTTTTGCAACATTAATTCATTTCGATTGACAATTGGTCTTTTGGGGCCATGCCACTGTAGGCCTGGAAACGGGCCAGGCTAAGGTTGGCCCGGGCCCGCTTGACCCAGTCTAGGCTCAAGAAGCCTTTGCCTTGGCCTTGCTCTGTGGGTCTTTCTTGTGGCCCATGCTGCCCTGGCCCGGCCCTGTGTGTCTTTGCTCCTGGCCGGTCTAGCCCGGCCCAGCTGGCCCATCCTCTCTCTCTCTCTCATACAAACTCTCTCTTACAGACCCCTACAAAAGTCCTAGAAGGAGCAACTCCATGATATGTGGTTTCCACCCTAAGAGAGAGACAATCTGAGCAATAATTACTCATCAAAAATTAAAGTAGCCACGATAATCTAAGCAATAATTGATGAGCTTCTAATTAATGAGCTTCAAATAAAAAATAAGTTATATGTGGATGTACACAAACAGTCTTGAGTACAAACCAAACCCTCGACGTGCTTTGGTTTTAAAAAACTCATGCGCAATACAAGAAAGAATAAGGTATCAAACTATATAATCATCATTTTAGCTTTCTTCTCGGGTACCAGACTACATAAAATTTCTAAAAATTTAATATTTCAATGTCTTGTTCTCTATTTACTGGTGGTTTTTTTAAGTGCCAGCAGCCAACCGCTCAAGCCCAATCTTATAAGGAAAGGTTTTTATAGTTCCTCTACAACATAGAAGATCTATGCTTTCCCTACCATCCAGCCGTCCAATTTTGATCGAGAGAGCCACTCACCGTTTGATCTTAGATCCGACGTCTCAAAGTATTTTATTTTTATTTTTCTTATGCAAATTTTATGAATATGAAATTTTGTATGTGCCATCTTCTCATTGGGGCGCACCTATAAAAAATATTAAAAATAATTTTTTCGATAAATATAATGACCAAAATACCCCCTTAAAATTTTTAGAGGTATTTTTGTCATTTTATTTTATTGGAAATATTGGTTTTATATTTTTCGCTAGTGCAAGTTTAATATAGGATTGGACGTCCAAAATTTGATTGTAAAATAGTTTATAGAAAAAAAATTAAAAATAAAATAGTGTAGAGACATGACAATGTGATTGGGGCAATCTTAACCCTCCATTCAAAATAGACGGTTGGATAAGGGGAAGTATACATGTTTTATACTGTAGGAGAAACATAGAAAGCTTGCCCATCTAATAAATCCTTTTAAAACAATATTTAACTAACTTTAACTTATAATAAGATCCAGTACTATCACAATACATAGTATTCCATCCAATATATATCAAATTTGACATTTTCTTAGTCATCTCACAAAGATTGGAGTCATAGCTCTTCATATCATCAATTAAAAGTATTTAGATCTTTGAAATCCTCTGAAAATATAAATTGGCAATAGGATATTTGATGTAGAGAGATTTGTTAAAATTTAGTGTTATTAATTTTCTTTTTTTTTTTGGAGTAAGAATTGCGTTAGGATAAATTAGGTGGGAGGATTTTTGTGCTTGAGTTTTTGTAGTGGTGTTAGTTGTCACACATAAATGCCTATTTTTTTATTTAGGAAATAGCTTATCTTTTAAAATAAATAGAAATTATATTTTATAATCTTTTAGAAAGAGAAGATAAAGATATAAGGAGAAAGAGATTTACGTGGGAGTTAGAGAGGAAGAGATAAGAGAGAGTTTATTTTTTGTGAGTTGTTTTATTTATTTATTTCTAAATATATTTAAAGGGAAGAGTTCCCCCATTGTAGAAAGGAAGAGATTGGAATTGAGTAAGGTTCATCTTATCTTTTTGGATGGATTCCCTTGCAAATCTTGTGAGAAGGTATATTCTCTCAATTTTTTATTTTATCTCTTTGCATCAATATATATAGATATATATATATATATATATATACAACATAAAATTATTTCTTTTTTTTTTTTGACAGAGATAAAAAATTATATTAGATCAAAAGGAAATTACAGAGTCATAGACATAAGTCTCAGATAAAAAAGTGCCCCCTTTAAACATGGAATCCGCCATCTCACTGGCATCCCTAAAGACATGTTCAAAAGAGGCAACTAAGGCAGAAGCATTATCACAGATTTCTAAGAGCAACGGCCGCAGCTCCCAAGGGCATTTGGTCTTCTTATTGACCCAATTGATGACATTAAGGGAGTCCCCTTCAATAATAAAAAGATTACCAAGATTCCGAGCTACTAGAAGCTGAATCCCATGAAATAAGGCCCCTATTTCTGTAAAATTAGTAGTACACTTACCAAGTAGTACTCTCATTGTGCTTGGTTCTAGCATTGCTCAACAAACTCCTCAATGCCAAGAGATGATAAGGGAGGAAATGGTTAGAGATCTCACGCCATGTCTCAGCTATCTGACTGCTGATGTGAACAGCCCGGACACGCCCTGTTGCATCGGTGTGCAGAATGTGCATGCGGGTGCTAACAGCCGGGACATGAGGCAGTCTATCTGTGTATGTCTCAAGGAAGTCGCCAATGGCATCCTGAATCTCAACGACGATCACGCTGCGGCACTCCCGGGGCTGTGCGGGGTGAAGCTGAACATCCCCATCTCTAAGAGCACTGACTGCACCAAGTGACTCTCTTTCTCATGAACACTAACATACACGCACGTGCTCACAAACACCCTAAACCGTGGAGTGATGGCCTCCGGACTGGCCAAGGCAAGGCCCAAAAAAGCCCAAAATGTTCATTTTTTGGGCCTGGCCTGAACCAGTGGGAAAACGTCCTTCCATACTAAGCCCATGCCCGGCTCAAAAAGAGAGTAAAAAAATCGAGTTTTTTTAATGGAAATCATAAATATCTGTATTTTATATTTTTTTTTAAAAAAAAAATTTTAAAAAAAATCTTCTTCTCTATAACTTTATTTCTTTATTAACTTAATATTATTGAATTTTGATTTAAAGATAAACAAATTAACAATAACAGTAAATTAAAAATCTTAATTTAACAAAAAATTCCATCAAAAATTTCACCAATAAGTTCCTTTAAAAATATTGTACAAACTCCAAAATAATAAGATATCAAAATGATTCTATAGTTCAAAATAATACGTCATGTTAAAAGAAGAGTATCCCAATGGAAATCATATATTTTCTGAAAACCGAGAGCATCTTTATAAAAAGAGAGAGAGAGATTCAATACAGAAAATAAATGTTTACTGATTCCCAATTTTTGCTGGTTAACATGATATGTGGAAAGTATTTGGTGAGTGGTCCATGGTCCTTACGGTCCTATATCTCAAAAATAATAGGTAATGTTAAAAGAAGAGTATCCTAATGGAAAATTATTTTCTGTAAACCCAAAGTATCTTTATAAAAAGAAAGAGAGATTTTCAGTGATGTAAATATTTAGGTAGGGCGCTTTTTATAGAAAATAAATGTTTACTGCTTCCCAAGTTTTGCCGGTTCACATGATGCGGAAAGCATTTGGTGAGTGGTCCGTGGCCGCCTTAGGCTTTAAAGGATAATCCTTGAAAAATTGAAATGCATGGTCTAAAAAATAATACAAAATAGATCATCTTCAAAGGTTAATATTTATTTAGTTTTTTCAAATTCAAGATCTTAATGGTTGAGATATTCAACCTACCAAATTTTAGGTACATATAATTTTTTAACATGTAGAACATGGAATAAATAAATAGATTTTTAAATAAAAAATATCGTATTTTTTTTTTTTTTTCAAACAATTGATTTTACCTCTTTGGTGGAGAGACCATAACTCCACATCCATCTTAATCCAACGTAATCCAAGCCATTTGGACATGTTTGGATCACCCCTCTTTTGGATATGGCACCTACAGACAGCTCTTTTGCTGTCTGATTTGACTGTGGCTGGACCGCTTCCAAGCAAACAGCTTGTTGTGTAACACGTTTTTGTGGAATTATTGATGGCCTAAATTTTGTGGAATTAAGGGGCCGTCATTTGGTATAACGGTAAAAAGGCTCACGAGGGTTCGAATTTTAAGAGCGGTCACTTTGTGCATAAGCCGATGGTTAAGACTGTTTCCAGCCCACCTACCTTGAAAACTTGTTTAGGCGGGACCAACACCTAATTAGGGCCTTTTATTTATGGAAAGGGTTTATATAAGGTTACAACGTTAAAATGTAGAATCACCGATGCACCTACAAAATCTATCGGAAATGTTGTTTTAATATTGAAAAAACCCTTTAATGAATCATCTCGACATCAAGATCTATGAAGATGAAAAAAACAAAGTTTTTGAATCCACAATAGTGCATCTTGCAATACATTATCTAGACCGTCCATTTTTAAGATTTTCATATATTTATAGATCGTCTTGATTTTTACCATTTTTGGAATTTAAAATTTTCTAATTAGGTATGAAAATAAATTTAAAGATAATACTAAGAATTTTTTACAACAAAATTATATGTTATGATAAAATTTTAAAGTGGGCTTTAATTGGATTGTTTAAGGTTGCAACCTTATAAAAACCGCAACCTTTATTAATTATTTATGGATGGCCCAAATTTTTCAAGCAACCAACCCCTTAGTTTTTTAAAAGCCCCCTCTCTCTCTCTCTTATTCTTGATTCAGATAACT